AATATAATTCTTTTTTTATAAATTTATTTTTTATTGGTGTTCAATTTGTATAAATATAATTCTTAATTAAATTTTTGTCTCATCGGATGGCACATGTCCTCAAGGAAAGTCTTCAAGGAAGTTTTGTGAGTGGCATTTTTGAGCCACTCCTGCACATTTATGTCATTTCCTCCACCTTCATTCATAAAACATTCAGAATCTGGCCCCATACAGTCAAGTGGGGCCACAATCTTTTCCTCTCAAAGATCGGTAGATGCTATTCTATGGGCTTCTGCGGGGAAAGGGAAGGTTACCCTGATCTTAGCATTTCAAAGGAAAAAATACTGAAGCTGCATAAGTTTTTACTTAGGTTTTCTTTCACGCTTTTGCATGAGTTGTTCTTCCCCAACAACACTCCCAGTGTGTGCCCTCGTGCCTTGTACATCTGACATCTTCTCTCTCATCATTTTGACCATTTTTCACCCTCATGTAGCATTTGAGATGAGCTTATCATGTTTGTCTCCCGTATTACTGATGTCACGTCTCAGCGTCAGATCTGTGCTCTTCTACTGGCTTTGGGGACTTCATTTGGTTGCTTCATTTTTAAGTTTCATTATTCCCTCCACTTTACAGCATTTTCCCTAAAGGATGGTAATTCTTTCCTTGTGGATTTCTGATTCTGTTTCATAATGCCCACACTTTCCTACGCTGTAATGCAACGGCTTGTCAGTTTTCCTATTTCCCTTTTGAGGTCTTCAGCGTGATTTCTCCCCCCCTCTTCCTCTTTACAAAATGTTAAAGATGTATTTTTTTATTTCTAAAAACTAATTATAAGAGCTTTATACAGAAAAGGTGGAGAAAGCACATGATATGTGGATAGGCTCCTCTTCACAGTGCCTCGCCAATTTTCAGATCCATCAGGTTTTTATATAGTTTGGTTTTATAGTATTGAAATGGGATCTTTCTCCTCTGAACAATTTCTAGTGTATACTGATGACAGTTCCTAGTTTTGTTCTTAGCAATGGAACTTCCTGTTTGGAGGCCCCCTTCTTCGGTCTCTACCAAAACTGCCCACTAGCCCCTTCTACATTTTTTTTTCTGCAAATGTACAGAAAAAAAAAAAAAGATACAAAGAAAAGAGAACAGGGTAAGTGGAAACACTTTGGTGTATTAAAAAAATAATAAAACTAATTATATAGAGGCTATGCCTACTAAAATTGCTTTTTAATTCCAATCCCTTATGTATTGTGATTATGAAGTCATTTAGTAAATTTCTCAAAAACAAGGTGTTACGCTGAGTACTTTGAAAACAGAACGTCTGCCTCTTCCCTTCCCAAGACATGATTTTCCTATGGTTCTCATAATAAAAGGTTAAATAAATATACATAGAAAAGGTGGTGGAGAAAGCAGATGATACATGGAAAAGGCTGCTTTCTCCTTTTCCCCTACTCTTTCTTTATTTCCCCTTGCAATTCACTGCCAGTGGACAGGTAGACGGAGAGATAGGAACAGGAGTGGAGAGAGGGGTTGAAGGCAGCACCGTGCAGGACTCGACAGTAGTCGACATGCCGAAGGTCAGCTGCTCGGCCTTTGAGGGAATCTCTAAACTGATGACAAAAGACAGACCCAGGTGGGGCACCTGGGTGGCTCAGCCAGTTAAGTGTTTGACTCTTTTTTTTTTTTTAAAGATTTTATTTATTTATTCATGAGAGACACAAAGAGAGAGGCAGAGACACAGGCAGAGGGAGAAGCAGGCTCCAAGCAGGGAGCCCGATGTAGGACTCGATCCCGGGACCCGGGACCTTCAGGCAGGTGCTCAACCACTGAGCCACCCATGCGTCCCAAGTGTCTGACTCTCTCTTATTTTTTTTTTTTTTTTAGTGCCTGACTCTTGATTTCAGCTCTGGTCAGGATCTTGGGTTGTGAGATGGAGCCCCATAACTGGCTCTGTGCTCAGCAGGGAGTCTGCTTGGGATTCTCTCCCTTTCCCTCTGTCCCTATCTGTCCCTTCAAATCAATCAATCAATCAATCAATCTTAAAAAAATTAAAAATAAAAATAAAAAAAAACAGAGACTAGGGCAACAGTAGGGGTCTTTCTCTTCATTCACTTTATCATTCTCTTTAGCACTATCTTGCTGTATTTTAAAATGAAGTAGCATTAGTGGTCCATCAACCAAGACTTTCAACCCTGGGCACCTGGGGGGTCTCAGTGGTTGAGTGGCTGCCTTTGGCTCAGGTTGTGATCCCAGGGTTTCCGGGATCGAGCCCAAAGTCAGGCTCCTTACTCAATAGGAGCCTGTTTCTCCCTCTCCCTCTCATTTGTCCCTCCCCATGTTTGTGCTCTCTCTTTGCCTCAAAAAAAAAAAAAAAAAAAAAAAAGACTTCAAAACAAGAAAAGATTCTCAACCCCAAAACATTATCCTAATAATTAGTCATTATATCATAAAGGGTACAGAGTATAATAATGTAGTATTATTTTTATTTTAATAATGTATTTAATAATGTTAATAGATTTCCATGTTTTGTGAAGGATCACAATTTTCCATTTTTTGTATCTTTGTAAGTCTTAAAAATTTTAATTCCAGTGTAGTTAACGTACAGTTTTATATTCATTCCAGGTGTACAATACAGTGATTCAACAATTCCATACATTACTCAATGCTCATCACAATAAGTGTACTATTCTCCCCTTCACCTATTAATCTCCCCCATGACCTCCCCTCTGGTAACCATCTGTTTCTTCCCTATAGTTAAGAGTTTATTTTTTTAGTTTGTCTCTTTTTTTTTTAATTTGCTCATTTGTTTTGCTTCTTAAACTCCACATATGAGTGAAATCATATGGTATTTGCCTTCCTCTGAATGGCTTATATCATTTACTATTATACTCTCTAGATCCACTCATTTGTCATAAATGGCAAGATTTCATTTTTTTATGGCTAATGTATACTATACACTAGAATTAGCCATAAAAAAAGAATGAAATCTTGCCATTTATGACAAATATATATATATATATATATATATATATATATATATATATATATAATCTGCTTTATCCATTGGCCTACTGATGGATACTTACGTTGCCTCCACACTTGGCTACCGTAAACAATGCTGCTGTAACTACAAAGGTGCGTGCATGTTTTTTTTTTTTTTTGGGGGGGGGGTTTATAGAAGTTTTTTTAAATTTTTATTTATTTATGATAGTCACACACAGAGAGAGAGAGAGAGAGGCAGAGGCATAGGCAGAAGGAGAAGCAGGCTCCATGCACCAGGAGCCCGATGTGGGATTCGATCCCGGGTCTCCAGGATCGCGCCCTGGGCCAAAGGCAGGCGCCAAACCGCTGCGCCACCCAGGGATCCCGCGTGCATGTTTTTGAATTAGTGTGGGTAGGTTATGTGGATCCCAGAAGAAGAAGAGAGAAAGAAGGGAGCAGAAAAATTTTTTGGAGAAAATAATAGCTGAAAATCTCCCAAATTTGGAGAAGGAAACAAAAATCTAGTTCTTGGAGGCACAGAAATCCCCCCAACAAGATCAACCCAAGAGCGTCTACACCGAGACACATAGTAATTAAAATGGCAAATGTAGTGACACAGAGACAATTTTAAAACCATCAAGAGAAGAGAAAACGGTAACGTGCAAGGGAACCCCGTAAGGCTGTCACTGGATTTTTCAACAGAAACTTTGCAGGCCAGAGGGACTGGCATGATTCAGATATTTTAGTGAGAATTTAGGACTGGCTAACTTAGATGCAGATGTCAGGGGCCACTTTTCGCAGCCCCCTCTAGCACCTCCCCTCCTGTGCTTCTCGGAGGGAATAAAGACGCTATGCGTGACCTCGAACCCTCTGTCTGTGGATTCCTTCCTTAGGCTACGACACTTGGGGGGAACAGTTATCCTCCCCGAACCTCCCGCATGAAACGCGATCTTTATATACGATACTAGCAGGAGCGGTTCTCCGGGTCCTATAACCTCGAGTGCAACAACGCTGAGGTTGATGATTCTTTTATGACTTCAAAGATCCAAACTCCCTAAGTTTGCTCTTCTTTCCCGGGGATTTGTTTTCCTCATCATATATGCTTAGTACCAGCTCCGGGTAAGGGTAATATTGAATAATTTGGCTTACGTGAAATCGTGCTTGCAGCCAGCTCTTGTAGGTAGTCGGCTTAGGTTCCCGAACACGTTCTTGTCCCGAGTCAATAGTGCTGTGATTTTTTTTAAATTTATTTTTATTTTTTTTATTCATGATAGACAGAGAGAGAGAGAGAGAGAGGGAGAGAGAGAGAGAGAGAGAGAGAGAGAGAGAGAGAGAGGCAGAGACACAGGCAGAGGGAGAAGCAGGCTCCATGCAGGGAGCCCGACGTGGGATTCGATCCCGGGTCTCCAGAATCACACACTGGGCCAAAGGCAGGCGCTAAATGCCTGAGCCACCCACGGATTCCCATGTCATCTGATTTTTATGGCCTGAATATCCTCATTCAGCTACTCTCAGATATCTCTCCTTGCTCCTCCTTCAATCCTTATTTCCTTAAATCTAGGTTGTTTCCTTACAACCTATTTTCTCATATGGTTTTCTCTAAAATCTAGGCTCTTTTTTTTCTTTCTCTTACTCCTTTCTCAGAAATACAATAGAAATATAATGTAAGTCATAAATGAGAGTCATATATGTAATTTAAAATTTTCTAGTAGTCACATTTTTAAAGTTAAAAAAAGCAAGGTGAAAAACAAAGCAAGGTGAAATGAATATATTTTATTTAACCCCAATATAACACCAAATTTTAATATTTCATTATGAGTCAGATTTTTTTGTTTGTATGATAAGAATTCAAAACATGTATTTTATACCTAAAGAGTATCCTAAATTGGACTGGAAATTTCAAATGATTAACAGCCATACAGGGTTAATGGCCACCAATACTAGACAGTGCAAGTCTAGATTTTTATGTTATAATCAGAGTTTAAGAAAAAATGGTTCATAGAAAAAATAGCGTGAGACAATCATAAATTATTTTCTCTTACCTACACAAGTCTTCTTTTATGTGAAGAGAAATCAATTCCTTAGGAATATGAAAAGAAAGTATGCTCTCTGACATCTGCTCCCGGATTCGCATCCACTTATTGTCAGATGTGGGAAATCTATATAATTTACACACTGGGTTCTTTAGCACTGGGAGGGAAGAAAAAATGAAAGTTTAGTAGTTAAATTACCAACATATGCCCATTATATAAAGATCTATTAACAAAATCATTAATCGGTGTACCACTGCTAATTACTTATTTATTCAAAAATTTGTTTTTATCATAATTCATTAGTGTATTTGAATTTCTAAGAATTTTGTTCTTCTATTTTTTTCAGTCTTCATTGAATTTAAAAATGATACATCAAATTCCAATTCATAAATGTGGCTATTCTTGTTCTCTAGTTTACCACCTATTAATTTCTTTCTTTTCTAAAGATTTTGTTAAAGAATATGTATTTATAAATATGTATCTATGTATAATACACACAAAATATATATATATTTCTGAATTTCTACTGATCATTATTAGTCAACTTTGCTCACTTATGCAGTAGGTGAGAACTGATATGTTATTTCAGAGATTCAAATGTCCCCACTACTAAAAATGTTTTTATTTTTTAAATGCCAGAAAGGTTCATTCCTTGGCTTAAGATCTATTACAATTCAAATATTATGCATACCTTAGTGCCAACAAGTCAATAACATATTTTCCTAATATCACCAGAAGCAAGACAAAGAGGCTGTGAACAAACTCTGTTTGTGGGTAGGAAGTGATTAGGGAAGAAGTAACAAGATTACACTATCAAGGATTTTAAAAGATTTAGGGCAAAACTGGAGGGCCAGATATGAAGATAACACCTGATCCTTTTTTTTCATGGGGCCAGCACTTGAACCACACTCCCAAGCCATTTATTTCCACTGCCGTTGAGCAATGAAGACCTTGGTTACACTCATACACCAAAGCTTAATGGGCAATAAAATATCAGGCCAATTGCCAGTCAAGTATCTATAATTTTTTTTATACAAAAGTCTTTTTTTTTAATTTTTATTTATGATAGTCACAGAGAGAGAGAGAGAGAGAGAGAGAGAGAGAGAGAGAGGCGCAGAGACATAGGCAGAGGGAGAAGCAGGCTCCATGCACCGGGAGCCCGATGTGGGATTCGATCCCAGGTCTCCAGGATCGCGCCCTGGGCCAAAGGCAGGTGCCAAACCGCTGCGCCACCCAGGGATCCCCCTTTTTTTTTTTTTTTGGTAAAGATGTATTTATTTATTTGAGAAAGAGAGTGTGTGTGAGAGAGAAAGCATGAGTAGGGTGAGGGACAGAGAGGGAAGCAGGCTCTCTGCTGAGGAAGGAGCCTGATGCAGGGCTTGATCTCAGGACTCTGGGATCACGACCTGAGCCAAAGGCAGGCGCTTAACCAACTGAGCCACCCAAGCGCCCCAAATATCTATAGTTATTTGGCTCCAGTTTACCAGTAAAGCTGATTTAAAACAAAACTGGATATTGAAATGCAGCATGGGTTATATGGGCCAGGTCTCCTCAACATATAGGGTAAAATTCCTTTTAGAAGTTTACTGAGATACGGCCACTACTTGGATCAATATACAATAGCTTTCTGAACATTAAAATGAGGATCTATTCATCCATTCCTCTGCAATCATCCATTCTCAGAAGTATAGTTGAGACATTTTCATTATCAGAATTGATGCTATATCAGAAACCGTGATGCCAAACACCCCATTCTTCAACAACCAGATTTAAAGCTTCTGGGATACCTACCTCCCCACTAGCAAGAATTTGCCAAAGTGTTTACTTTTCAAAAGCACCAAGAGAAGCCAGAAGACAGTAGACTATTTCCAGTATGTTGAGAGAAAATATTTAAAATCTAGAGTTGTATGCCCAGTTAAAAAAAAATGAAGTCTAGAGTTGTATGTCCAAAGGGATTATATTTTAACATAAACATTATCTCTAAGCTTCATCAATTAGATTATATCACAGATCCACAGATAGAATTGATCGTATCTATTTTCTTTCTTTTTTATTGAAGTGTGACTGACATACAACGTTTCATTAGTTTCAGGTGTACAATGATTCAACGTTTGTACACCATATTCCCAAATGATCACCACAATAAGTCTAGTTAACATCTGTCATCATCATAGTTACGGTTTTTTTTTTTTTTTTTTGCGATGGAAACTTTTAAGGTGTATTCTCTTAGTGACTTTCGAATACAGTATTAACTATAGTCATCATGTTGTACATTATATCCCCAACATTTACTTATTTTATAACTGGAAATGTGTACCCTTTGACTTCACCCATTTCAACCACTGCCACCCTCTGCCTCTGGCAACCCCCAATTTGTTCTCTGTATTTATGAGCTTGGTTTTTTAGATTTATTATTTTTCAGATTCCACATATAAGAGAGATCACATGCTCTTTATCTTTCTCTGTCTGACTGATCTCAGCATAATTCCTTTAAGGTTCATATGGTCACAAATGGCAAGATTTCGTTCTTTTTTTATGGCTGAAATATATATATGTCATATTTTCTTTTTTTAAGATTTTATTTATTTATTCATGACAGACAGAGAGAGGCAGAGACCCAGGCAGAGGGAGAAGCAGGCTCCCTGCGGGGAGCCCGACGTGGGACTCGATCCCGGGACCCCGGAATCACACCCGGGGCCAAAGGCGGCGCCAAACTGCTGGGCCACTGGGGCTGCCCTATGTCATATTTTCTCTATCCGTTCAACCATCAGGGGACACTTAGGTTGTTTCCACGTCTTGGTTATGCAGCTATGAACACGAGGGTACCACATATCTTTTCAAGTTAGTGTTTTCATTTCCTTTGGATATATTTCCCCAGAAGTGGACTTGCTGGATCATACGATAGTTCTATTTTTAATCTTTTGAGGAACCTCCACCCTGTTTTCCATAGGGCCTATACCAATTTACATTCCTACTAAGAGTGCCCAGGAGCTCCCTTTTTTCTACCCATGCTCTCTAATACTTGTTATTTCTCGTTTGTTTTGGCAGCAGCCATTCCAATAGGTATGAGGTGACAGTTCATTGTGGTTTTCATTTGCATTTCCCTGATGATTAGTTATCCTGAGCACCTTTCCATGTACCGGTTGGCCGTCTGCAGGTCTTCTTTGGAAAAATGCTTATTCAGACCCTCTGCTCATTTTTTAATCTGATTAGTTCCTTTGCTGTTGAGTTTTATGATTTCTCTATACGTTTTGGGCATTAGGCCTCATCAGATATATTTTCTTTCATCTGAAATATAAGGCAGCCAATAAAAGAAACCATGATATCTCCTTAATTTTTAAAGTGACAATGTTTTAAAGACACAAGAATTTTACTACAACCTGTACTGTTCCATCTTTAGAGTTGGAGAAGAAGAAAAGTATGTTCTGAATTCAGCAGGGTGTCAGTTAGGTTAAAGCATATATGGGATCTCATGAATTCCAATATAGCTTACATGATCAGGAATATAAATGCATTCTTTTACAGTAAGACGAAAACTCAATCTCTGAAAAGTCCGATTTTTTTTTTCTTACTAACCTAAGTAAATTCAATTACTTGGTCTATCTATAAATATACCCAGTATATTTGCTGCTTTTAAACCTCTGTTTTATTCCTTCAAAATCATACAGAATTTTTGTAGCTCTCAAATCCTGGTAAGAATTCTTCATTTTTCTTGCTTCCTATAAAATAATAACTATTTTCAGAAAATCTGTTATTTTGAATCAAGTCACAAAATTTTTCATTTTGTTATCTGAAAACTAGTCTTTCCACTTCGGACTATATTATTTTTATTTTAATGCTTTTCAATGTGTTTAAATATATATCTTCACTGAAGTAGCTTCGGCGGAAATCAAGGGCCATTTGATTAATGAGCTCCAGAACTCTCTTCTGACCACCTGGTACATATTATACAAGGACTCTGTGGAAATGCTGTTTTTAAGGAAAATACCAGGGATAAATTAAGAAAATAAAAAAAAATAAGGCAACTTGATCATCCAGAAGAAAATCCCAACAGTGTCTCCCATCTAATTTTTATTAGTCATTTTTTTAAATTTTTATTTATTTATGATAGTCACAGTGAGAGAGAGAGAGAGAGAGGCAGAGACACAGGCAGAGGGAGAAGCAGGCTCCATGCACCGGGAGCCCGACGTGGGATTCGATCCCGGGTCTCCAGGATCGCGCCCTGGGCCAAAGGCAGGCGCCAAACCGCTGCGCCACCCAGGGATCCCTCCCATCTAACTTTTATGTTATAGGACATGATCTTTTGAAACTCCTAGGTCTCCGAACATTTGTACTAAATCAGGATCTCAATGTAGCTATAGTGGGATCCACCCTACAAACAACCCAATCTGATCCAGCAGCATTCCTTATTAAACATCTACTATGCATAAAGCAAGAACATCTACTCTGTATCTTAAACTATCACATAGTGGAACGTGACTTAAAAAGTGAAAAAAAAAATATGGCCCAACTTCCCACTACCATGCAGATTTACTGCACTGGTTACAAAAAAAAAGACCAGATAAAATGTTCGTTAACTCAAAATTCTTACTACGTTGATAATGGGGAGATTTTTTTTATCATCTTCACATAAACGTAAGCATGGTATTCATGCACCAAATACTGGACAATGGATCATAAATGATGAATGCTTGTGCCAGTTTTTTTTTTACGTTTCTTCCCTGTAGAAGAGATACGATGCTAATAATTCTGCACACTTACTCCAGCTATGGGAAAGAGTCGTCCATCTCTTTCGGCCTGGCTTTTCACTGATGCCAAATTTTTCTTTATATAGAAGATACATTTATGATCATACAGTAGACCTGTCAACTCAGAACACTATTTAATATGTATTATAAATTCTTTAAAGAGACCCTTGTAAGTACGCTCTTCAGTTTTCCACTGCTTTTGCCAAAACAACTGCTAGAAACATCATGTGACAGCTTCTGCCAAGAGAAAAGTAGTAGAGATATTTTGGACCACACCACGGTCTTGGGATGGCTTAACAGGAGTAAAGGTCTAAGCTCGTCCAGATACCATACATTCCCCTCGAGGTCCACTCCCTATGGTGAGCACAGGAACAGAAAATAAATGGCAGATTTTTCTCCCCCAAATTGCAGCACAACTCAAACTTCTATATTGTTTCTCTCAGACACTGTGGCAGGGCTTCTTTAACCGGGTCACACGCTCAGCACCTGTGAAAGCCAACTGGGAACTGTCAAAGATGCCGAAGAAACGTTCAACAGAGCCAACACACAGACGGCGCCTAAAGGAAAACCACAGAACGTGGCTGTTAAAAGCAAATGAGAGCAGAAAAGATAAACTAGAGAGATATCACAGGAACCCCTTTTTTTTTTCCTGTGCCTGTTTTAGGGATGTCCGTAGATAGACAAAGAATTCCACAAATTTAGATTCAGGGACAAGGGGCTCATCAAAAAGCCAAATACTTATTTACTCCAGTTGTCTTAAATATATTTCCCCAGGGGGAGCTCGTCTGCGATTATCTTCATGAACTCTCTTGCATTCAGGAGGTGGTACAGGTCACATATTTAGATGGAATCTGACTTTACTGGCTTTATGCCTTACAAAAATCATTAGTTCGATGTCCTGCGGATTCTTGTAGAGAATTCATCCTGTAGCTTTTAACTACGCGGTCGTTTAATAGTTTAATTATTCAGCTGAATGTACATGCGTTGCCTGTCCTCCAAATGCTACGTTATACTTTCTAAAGATAAGTCCGTGTAATCCAATTAGATACTGACATTCCCTCATTTGTACTTGGAAATATCTTAGATTTATATACAACTGAAATGGAGGTTGGCTCTTTTCAAGATTGGGTAAGAACTGAAAAACCCAATTAGAGATCACTAAAACACTATCCGAAGCATGGTTATGGAAAAGAGATGATAAGAAGACAGGAGAGGAACTCAGAAAACACAGCAGAGAGAGAATTCTTTAAAAATAATAAAGATGAGGGGCACCTGGGTGGCTCAGCAATTGAGCATCTGCCTTTGGGGCTCAGGTCATGACCCCGGGGTCCCGGGATCGAGTCCCGCGTCGGGCTCCCTGCATGGGGCCTGCTTCTCCCTCTGCCTGGGTCTCTGCCTCTCTCTCTGCATCTCTCATGGATAAATAAATAAAATCTTTAAAAAATAATAATAATAATAATGAAGATGAAAAAAAGGTCAAATCAATTCTTAAAAAAAAAAAAACAACCTAACTCCTAAGAATGGTTTATTTGCTTTTCTTTAGCTTCGTTATAAAATCTAAATCATGTTACTGCTTGTGTCGTTTCCAAAGGAGAAAAGGAAAGAATGGAATAGGAAATAGGATGCAAGCTATGTTAGACCAAGTGCTGCTTTCCTGGCCCAACCGAACCCATGCTCGTGGGCCTCCATCTTCAATTTAAGGGCAAGAATAAGAAAAATTATTACAGATGTCAGAGAAGACATAAAGATGATATTTGTGGGCATTTAGTCTCCAGCTGATGATAACTGGTGAGTCTAGTGTGTAGAATCGGATTTTAGATTTTAGCTGGTCAGGACATGATTTGCCTTCACTCTTTCCAGCTCGAATGCTTTGCTCTGCTCACTCCAGTTCTGTAATTAAAGGAAAGGACGCAGCTAAAAAAGGTAGGAGGCAGCTCGTACTTCACGCTGAGGCGCCTGAAATGGCCTATAATCCTCTGAACTCAAGTTGCTTCTGTCCAATTTCCTTCTGTTGAAGACATTCCCTGCATCTCAGAGGAACACCCCTTTGCTGGCTGTGAGTAACCATCCTATGAACTCAGCCGTGCTAGCACCTCCTCCGGGAAGCCTTCCGTGCCTCCCCCCGTCCCCCTCTATGGGTTTGTCTCCTCACTTCCAGAGAACACAGGCATCGAAGGATGAGAAAAACTTGGTTGAGAGAAAGGCCTCCCCGCATTTGTCCACGACACGTTAGCTTTTTGACCGCGTCATCTTTTTTGCCTCTTTTTTTCCTTCTAGTTTACCTACGACGTGCAGCGGGGGAGGTAATGGACTTCCTCCAGGAAGACAGCTGAAGCCTTCGCAGGTGTCCACGACCTGATTCATCGATTATTAGATAACAAATTCACTCTTCCATAGAAGCTATTTAACGCCCTAAATGTATTAGTACACAGTAATGAAAATACATGGAAATCCCAAAAGATCAAAGTTAATGGACTCTATCGTATCTGTTAGAACAGCAAAGGGCAAAGAAATCTGGTGAGTAAGTATAAAGGGGCAAGGGCCAGTAGCAAAACTCAAAATGGCCCCAAATTTAAACTGAAATGGGGAAGATACGACAGAGACATCTTTGGTTCTATCGAATGGCATCGTCTAAAAAATCCCCAGATTTCATAGCTCACGAGTGAAAGGAAAGAAAGGAGGAAACAGGGAATTTGCTTTTTGGCTGGAATTCATCAGGACTTAAAACGGGTAAAGAGGGACGTATTTTTAAGGATCTCCTGGTGTATTCTGAGTCATGCACTGCTTAGGATGGGGTGTTAGTGAGGACAATGTCACCCCAATATTTGGCTCACGTGGTATAGTCTTGTCCTTCCCTAAGGTCAAGGGGCTCAGAGCAGACATTCGTGGCAAACGTCCAAGGTGGGGAGCGCGCCTCCGGCCGTGGGGGCTGTGACCACTGAGAAATGTCATTATGGGGACCCCCGGGGGCTCAGCGGTTGAGCACCTGCCTTGGGCCCAGGGCGTGACCCCGGGGTCCTGAGTTCGAATCCCGCATTGGGGCCTGCTTCTCCCTCTGCCTGGGTCTCTGCCTCTCTCTCTCTCTCTGTGTCTGTCTCTCGTGAATAGATAAATAAAATCTTTAAAAGAAGAGCTGTCCTGTAATCACGTGGCCCCGTACTTCAGAGCACAGGCCTTGGGACCAAAAGTGGCTTTGAAATCTGGACCTGCCACCTGCCAGGTAGGCGACCTGGGCCAGGGTCCGCGTCCACCAGACGAGGACGACGGCAGCGCCTGCCCGCAGCACAGGCCGGGCCAGCAGGACGCACCAGGCATCTAGCCCGCCGCCCGCCGCCGCACCTGTCACGGCCTCCCAGGGCGTTCAAGGCAACACGATTTACACGACTATTGCACACCAGGTCCATAATTCACATGCACGGATTTGCCACATTGTTCCCCGTCTTAGGAGCTTCCGTTTTATTCGCAGGGTCATCATGTAACACCTGGTTTATACCTCGTCGAAACCCAGACGGGTCACTGCACGCGCCACGTCACGCGCACGCCCTGGAGCATAGGAACGCGCCTGTGAGCGGGTCCGCCCAATCCACCCACAGAGCGACGGAGGTTTTAATGATTTTGTTGTGATTCTACAATCGGGGGGTCAAGCTGGGGGCAGCTGGACGGCGCCGGTCCCGGGACGGAAAGCATCGGGGAGGCAGCCCCCCCCCTGCACCCGGCGTGGGCTCTCTCGAGTGAGTGAGTGAGAATCAAACTAAGTAAGAGCTTCATATTCCTTCTCAGGGGTCTGGGTTCGGGTAATATAAACCCAAACCTAAAGGAGCGTGTTTGGCCACGGAGCCAAAGCATCTTCGTGCGCTTCCGATGGGACGGCGAGCTGCGTGGGGATGGGACCCAGGAGGCCGGGGTCTGCAGGGGACCGGAGTGACGCGGGCACAGGTAGCAGGGCCCGGCCCGAGGCCCAGGATCGCCCCCCTGTCTGCGTCACGGCCGCGAGTGGGCCCCGGCTCGTCCCGAGTGTGGGCAGGACGCCCAGGAACCCACCCTGACGGCGACAAGGACTCGCCGGCCGCCCGGGGAGCACCTGCGAGGCCCTGCACGGAGCCGGGGTGCAGGCCCTCTGTCTGCAGAGCTCGCCCCTGTCCGCGCCTGCACATCCAGGCGAGACCCCGCACCAGCCTCCGCCCCACGCGACCAGCTCATCCGCTGCCGAGGGCTCCCGGACCATTCTGGAAGCACACGGCCCGGGTGCAGTATCGAGCCCGCAGGAAAGGAAAACCCACGCGGATAGGAAGCGAGCGGGAGGCTCCCACCCCCACCCGAGACACGTACCTGCATTCAGGAAGGGCAGGTTCTCTTTCCCGCTCCCACCGTCGGGGGCCGCACATTCACACACCAGCGCGCACTGGGCCAGAACAAAAGGAAAAATAAAAACACGTCAAGGTAATGAAATCAAGAAAGGAGACGCTTCCATTTTGTGGGCCAAACCCGAGGCTACGCAGAGGGTTCTGGAAAGTTCTGAACAAGGTCACTTGTTCCGTGAGACTATTTTTAGTTTTGTTCTTTACTGTGGATTTGTTTCCTTGGGGATTATTTCCGGGTGCATTAGGTGAGCGCGGCGCCCAGTTGCAGGCGCTTCGTGGCTCCCGTTAAAACGACCTACAAAACTAAGCAGAAAGCGGAAAGGGACGGTCTCCGTAGAAACCTGTCCCTAGCACGTCGCATTTGACAAGCTGGATGGTCCTTTTTTTTTTCTTTTTTTTTTTTTTTGGCTGGATGGTTCTAGATTTCTGTCCCCTGGGGTAGCTTTTGGATCAATAAAAAGCAAATTGTTTTCTAGATTTTTAGTAAACTGAATACAAGATAAAAGACCTTGTGCCCATCAGGCCGCATGAGGCAAGGGGAAATCTTCGTCTGTGGCAACACAGCGCAAACGCTCGCCCACGAAGTATGAGGACGCTTTATAAATACATCGACCTCTGACTTATAGACCGACTTATAGATCGATAATTTGCAAATAAACTGATTCATAGATTAACAGACTAAGCTAGTGGGCTTTTACAGAAGCAACGCTGCCCTGGACGGAGAGCACGGAAGATGGGGCGGCTGGGGGCGCAGTCAGGGCGGCGGCGGCTGGCTCGGGTCATGACCCGGGGTCCTGGGATCGAGTCCCGCCTCGGGCTCCCGGCTCAGGGCGCAGCCTGGTGCTCCCCCTGCTCGTGGATGCTCGCTCTCTCAAAAAAAAAATAAAATCTTAAAGAAAAAAAGAAAAAGCAAAAGAACCAGACCGTATCTGCAGTGCGAAGTGCGGGCGGGCAACCGCGTCCCGGATGACACAGCGGCAGGTGGTGGCCCAGGGGCCGCGAGAGGCCCACGTCCACACGGACAGACGCCAGCGGGACGGGCACTCTTTTTTTTTTTTTTTCCTCCCCAATGAGCCATGAGTTTCCTTCTCTGTCTGTAGCTACAAAAAAAGTGGGGCGGTGCTCGTTGGAGGGAAGAGGAGAATGGATTTCTGGAGCTAGTGTAGGAGCCATAAACCAATAAATGCAAATAAAAACCAAACAAGCCACGGAAGCCCCGCAGCTTCTCCGGTGAAGGAGCCCGAGGGAAGCACGATGGCCTGTCGCGCAGGCTCTGCCCCGAGCCTCGGGGGACCCGGCCGTCACCTCCCCCCTGCCCCCCGTCCCCGCTGGAGACGCGGCCACACGGCCCACCGCCGAGGACAGGACCACGCGGCTCTCGAGCGCTTTCAGAAGAAACACAAATGATCTAAACGTTGATGTGGGGGGGGGTCATTTCTGTGTGTGTATAGCCCGGTCCTGGCCCCCCACCGTAAACACTCATCACATTACTCAGGGATTTTTAAAAAAATTTTTTTTCATTAAGCCTGATCTTTTATTCTCGAGCGGTGATGAGTTGCGGTCTTTTTTTTTTTTAATCTAAATTCAATTAATTAACACACAATGTATTATTAGTTTCAGAGGTAGGGCCAGTGATTCATCAGCTGCATATCACACCCAGTGCTCGTGACGTCAGGGCACCCGGTTACCCCGTCCCCCCGCCCTCCGCCCCTCCAGCGACCCTCACTTTATTTCCTAGAATTAAGAGTCTCTTATGCTTTGTCTCCCTCTTTGATTTCGTCTTGTTCTATTTTTTTTCCCCTCTTCCACTATGATCCTCTGTTTTGTTTCTTAAATTCCATATACGGGCCTCCCGGGGGGCTCAGCGGCCCTTCAGCCCAGGCCATGACCCCGGGGTCCCGGGATCGAGTCCTGCTTCTCCCTCTGCCTGGGTCTCTGCCTCTCTCTCTGTGTCTCATGAATAAATAAATAACATCTTTACAAAAAATTCCACATACGAGTGAGATCACATGATAATTGTCTTTCTCTGGTTGACTGATTTTGCTTAGCATAATACCTGCTGGTTCCATCCAGGAAATTTCCTGATAGGGAAAAATGCGTTCTCGTAATTTCCTTAGTGCTTCCACCGAGGTTCTACTTTACCAAAAGAATGAAGAGCTGCAAACAGCTCTTAAAACCTGATGCTGTCTAAATCATTTTCCCGACCAAATGAGAACCCACAGGTGAGCCCTTCCTTTAATCCACGGGTATTCGGAAAATGCACTTCCCAAATCACTTGGGCAATGAGCAGTGATGCTTGGACATACTTAAAATCCCTTATTTCTCTTATTTCCAGGATTTCCTCTGCTCTTTTCAGTCCATATAGGGCTGTTAAAATAACCTTTCATAAACTTTATATTCCTCATCCCGGTGTTCTGCTCTAAAATGGATAATGGCCATTTACTGCCCAATCAAATCCAATATATATACAGAAACGGTTTAGATTAAACCCGGTTAGTAAGGAAGTCCATGATTCACAGGGATCGGGCTCTCATCTTGAAGACCTGCTTGTCTACACGGAGGGAGCCCTGCCTTTTCACAATCAAAGTCAACTGTTTTCCAACAGAAAATCCATTATTAACATCCATTATCCACTATCCAATAAGAGCATCCATTATTTTACCAAACGGATACAGAATTAGAACTTTCAAACACTCGTATCTCCCATCTCACTGGAAGGCAGACACTCAGGATAATTCTAACCCATAATATTCTTATTTTGCAACTTTACCACTCCACTCACAATGCTTTCAAGATTTAACTCCACGGAATAAAAAGCGAAGATATCCGATAAACATATACTAAATTAATGCATATTTTTTATCTATGGACTCTGTAATTATTTTCTTACATTGTTTCCTGAGTGTACTGTGTCACTATTTAAATTGAGTTCCGAAGCCAGGAACCATATTTCTTATTTCCTCAGCCTATTTTATTTATTTATTTATTTATTTATTTATTTGTTTACCATATTTCTTATTTCCTCGGCCTATTTTATTTATTCATTTATTTATTTATTTATCATATTTCTTACTTCCTCAGCCTATTTTATTTATTCATTTATTATTTACCATATTTCTTATTTCCTCAGCCTATTTATTTATTTATTTATTTACCATATTTCTTATTTCCTCAGCCTATTTTATTTCTTTCTTTATTTACCATATTTCTTATTTCCTCAGCCTATTTATTTATTTATTTATTTGCCGTATTTCTTATTTCCTCAGCCTATTTTTTTACTTATTTATTTATTTATTTCCCATATTTCTTATTTCCTCAGCCTATTTTATTATTTATTTATTTATTTATTTATTTTTCATTCATTCATTCATTCATTTATTTTTTACAGTTTACCCTAGAGTCATTTTTACACTGTGCTAGATGCTACAGAGAACGCAAAAGTTAAAATGATTTGTAATCATTAAGCACAGGTTTAAGGGGGCTCCGGCCTCGTATACGGTTTATTGCTACCATCATGAAGGCTATTTGCAGGGTTATATGCCCTTACACCTGGTGTGTTCTCAGTGTAACAACCTCGTATTTGTGATTCTGAGCTGGAGTAGCAAACACCACACGCCGAGGCGCCGTAACCCTACTGATTTTGACGAGCGCTTTAAAAAACGTCATCCGACGGTAAGAAGAAGAAACATAAGAGAAGATGCAAACTCCTGGAGCTTAGCGATCTTGAATATCAGCTCCCGTGCCAACTCGCCGTGCGTTGGGCAGGAAAATTAACCAAATTGTAAGGACAATGATCGTAAATGACAGAGACCAGCGCATTTACATTAGTTTATTGTTTAAATCATGGTTGTCGGGATCCCTGGGTGGCTCTGTGGTTTAGCGCCTGCCTTTGGCCCAGGGCGCGATCCTGGAGACCCGGATCGAGTCCCACATCGGGCTCCCTGCATGGAGCCTGCTTCTCCCTCTGCCTGTGTCTCTGCCTCTCTCTCTCTCTCTCTCTCTCTCTCTGACTATCATAAATAAATAATAAAAAACAAAACAAAAAAATAAATCATGGTTGTCAAAGTTTGGTCTGCAGTCTCCCGGGGTCCCTGATAATCTTGTCTTTCCATCGTCTGCGACATCTAGCAGAGGGTGAAGACAAAATCATTTCCATGAGAGTACTACAACACTATTCGGAGAAGGACAAACATTATATGGTCTCATTCATTTGGGGAATATAAAAAATAGTGAAAGGGAATAAAGGGGAAAGGAGAAAAAATGAGTGGGAAATATCAGAAAGGGAGACAGAACATGAGGGACTCCTGACTCTGGGAGACAAACAAGGGGCAGTGGAAGGGGGGGTGGGCAAGGGGACTGGGGTGACTGGGTGACGAGCACTGAGGGGGGAACTTGATGGGATGAGCACTGGGTGTTATGCTATGAATGAATGAATGAATGAATGAATAAATAAATAATAAAACACTGTTTGCTTCTCTCTCTTATCAGCATATCGTGGAATTTTATAGAGGCCCTAGGACACGGGGCCCTCATCTGACAGCTAGTGGTATGTGTGCTTGTGGACCCTTCCGTTTTAAAACGTTTCTAGTTTGAATTTCTAATACGATAAATATCCAGAGATATAACCTAAGTGAGCAAAATCCGTAATACAGTAAATATCAATAGACAAAATCCACATAAATACCAATTTTAAGAGTGTAAAATATGCAGATGGCTCTACTCCGGTGATCTCTCTCAGTCTCATGGTCTAAATACCAACCAAACACCATCTGACCCTCACCAACATATAATCCCAGCGGGGACACCTCCCGTGGATTCCAGACTTAAACCTCCAACTGCCCGCATCTATTTCAAATTTCAGAGCTAACCTCTCAAAATCTCGGGTCCTTCTGCACCTGCCCCTTTCAATTTTCCTCGTCACCATGGATGGTAATTTTGTTCTTTGGTTTTCCCTTTGTACCTGGAGTCGGGCCACATTTCACTTTCTCTGATTCAACCCTTCAGCTTGTCTTCGTTTCTGCCTTGAGTCTTTGTGATAAAC